GGCTGTTGCTCCACCTTGCAGGCCTTTCCCACCTTTTTCTAGGAAAATGCATATTAATTGCTACCTTCTCTGGAACTCCTGCTTGGATTGTCTGGGAAGGCAGGAGTGTCCTCTGTGCCCTTTCAGAACCGTGTGTTCTCTTACGGCCCCATCACACGGTGCTGTCCTATCTTCTTTTGGGTTTTGGCTCCTGGAAGGGAGAGACCAGGTTAAACTCATGCTATCTGTCTTCCCCAGAAGGCCTAGCTTAGGGCAGGCACTCAAATGTTTGGGGGATAAAGGAAGGAAGGAAGGAAGGGGTGGGTCATGTCTTTCCTTCCCTGGCACCTCTGACCTCATGTAGCAAATGTCTGCTGTGTGCCTACCCTGGGCCTGGCTGTGCTGCCCTCCATTAATCAGGGCGCCTGGCTTCTTTATTTGGCTCTGATGGTCCAAAAAGACCTACTTCAGAAGTAGGAGGCCTTGCCTCGGCTGGTGTGGCTCAGTTGGTTGGAGGGTCGTCCTGTACACCAAAAGGTGGCAGGTTTGCTTCCCGTTCAGGGCACATACCCAAGTTTCTGGTTCGATCCCAGTCAGGGAATGCACAGGAGGCAACCAATTGATATTTCTCTCCCACATCTGTTTCAATCTCTCCACCCCCCCTTCTCTCTCTAAATATCAATTTAAAAAAATTAAAAGTAGGAGGTGTCAAAGTCCAGCCCGAGGCCTAAGCTGTACAACTGTCTGCTGTTGAGCAGAGACCCAGGCCAATGTGGAGGGTTTCCACTGACCAACCCCTTCCCGGGCCTGGGGTTTCATGGCTGGGTGAGCGTGTCTCTTGCCTGTCCTAGATGGAACCTTACCCAGCCGGTCACCTGTCCGTGCCTACAGATGTGACTGTGGAAGAGCAGCAGCGCAGCTGGGAGATTTTGTTCCCTCTTCCTTTGCAGGCACTCACCATTGTCATGCAGCGAACTTCGTCAGATGCTGGTAGAGGTTTTCCCCACGCTGCCTGGGCTCTGTGGGAGCCATCCCTGGGCCCGTTAGGATACCAGCTCTGCCTTGAATTTGCTACTTGGCTCTGGTAGCTCCTCGTTGAGCCTCAGCTTATGCATTCTGAGAATGGAAGTAACATTCCTTGCCTGCCAGGGTTGTCATGAGGCCAGAGTGAGCCAGTGGGGGTGTGAGTGAGGCCACAGGGAGGAAGATGCCATGCTGGGTGCTGTGGAAACGGGCAACATCGCACCTGCTGCCCTCCGGGAAGCACTCCCGCTGCTGTGGCCTGAGGCAGCGTGGAAACTGGCAGCGTGGGAGGAAGAACACTGGACCAGGTGTCAGGCCCCTGTGCTGGGCCAGCTGGGTCTTTGCCTCCCCCTGTGAAGGATGACTGCCACTCTGAGCCCTGGGTCTGTGGCAGGTGGCAGGCAGTGACCAGGACTCAGCAGCTGCCTACTGTCAGGGAGTGGCCCTCCCGGGGTGCCTAGCAGCCAGAAGGTGCGTTGGGGAGACAGGAGGCCAGAGGCCAAAAGGTCCGGGCTGGGCTCAGAGGTTGATCAACGTTATTGGCGAGTGGTGAGGAAGGGGGGGAAGTGGTCAGCTCTGCAACCACCGAAACTGATTTATTGGTTAATTAGGAGGTTTCCACCGCCACAAACTAACCCAGCTGTGTGCAGAGAAAGGGAAAGAGGGGTCCACAGGTCAGCCAGTGCTGCTGGGAGGCCAGCTGGGACCCGAGTGTGGTTCAGTGTCTCTCCAGAGCCAGGAGCACCAAATGGCTAAGAAGTGACGCACGGGGCTTGGGTCACGCAACGGGCCTAGGACTTGAAGCCCATCAGGACCTGCTGGCCTGAGTATCTGAACAGACTCGCCCAAGGAAAGGGACTGGGAGCTCTCTGAGGTTTCCAAGGCATTCGATTAGGGTGTGGGGAGCTGTGGGTTTGGGAAAGAGGGCTGATGCAAAACCAGAAAGCGGAAAAAAACCTTGGAAACCATGGAAACTGAGAGCAGAGGCCTCAGAGGTGGAGGAGGAGGGTCCACTGGGAAGTTTAACTGCAGTGGGTTTGAGCCCAACCTCTGCCAAACACTAGCTGTGTGATTTTAGGCAAATCACCAAGCCTCTCTGATTGATTTCTTCATCTGTAAGATGAACAAATGATATTGATCCTGCGAAGCTGTTTTGATAATTAGGTTGAAGAATGTAACTCCACATAGTAAATGCTTAATAAATATTTGCCATATTAGCTGCTAGTATTAGGTAACCCAGGAGGGGACTTGGAAGGGAGAAGAGGCTTGGTGAAGGGTTGTGGAGAAAGCAGGGCTCAGAAGCTGCTGCTGGAGTCCGAGGGACGGGCGGGGACCCGCCCTCCTGCCAGAGCCGGTCTGGGGGCTGCCGTCCGGGGGCTGCTCTGAGCGGCACCCACCCATGTTCCCTGCCAGGGGCGTTCCCTGGCCTGGAGCCCCAGCTCGGCCGTTGCTCCTCGCAAGGCTTCCGGCTCGGCCGCGTCCCCTGGCAGCGCCGGGCCCTGGGGGAAGGGGAACGAGACGAGACGACACCCAGCAGAGCGGAGGCGGACACGGTTTATTTCTGTCCCGCAGCCCACGGGGCGGGCCGGGCCT